TTTTTTTTTTTTTTAAAAAAAAAAAAAAAAAAAAAAAAAAAAAAATTAAAAAATGAAAAATAATAAAAAAGAAAAAAGAAAGAAAAATAATAAAATAAATTTAAATATTCTATCTTAATTTATTAAAAATATTAGGTATTATTTTAAAAAAAAAAAAAAAAAAGAAATACATACATATAATATTTTTAATTTCATCATATATATATGTACAACTTTTTTTATATAAAATTTTTTATAGTATTTACTTTTCTAATTTTTTATTTATGTACTTTATTTTTTTTTTTTTTTTTTTTTTGAATATAATATTATCTATTAATAATTTATATTACTACTAACAACAGACATATTTTTATAAATTGATAATTATTCAAATGAGTATTTTTTTTTTCTTTATTATTTCTTTTAATTCTTTAAAAAATACAAATAAAGCTACAATAAATGCAATACTAATATCTAAAATTTTAAAATAATAAAAATATATATAAATAATAAATAATAATAAATATAATGATAATAAGTAAAGATGATAAATAATATGCGATAATCAAAAATGTTAATAGGTAATTATAATAAATAAAAGTAAACAAAAATGATAACTTTTGATTAGATAATAAAAGTAATAAAATATTATAGAATAATGTATGTAACTCTTTTTTTTTAATTTTATTAATGCATTTAATTTCTTGTTATATTTTTATTAGTGTTGTAATTAAATTTATATAAAATTAATAATTAAAATAAAATATAAAAATAGTATATGCTTATTTTTGAAACATTAACTAAGACTATTTAAAAATACTCAAAAACTAATATATATATATATATATATATATATATATATATATATATATATATATTTAAAAAAAAATAATTCTTAATAAAAAATTACTACATTTAGTAATAACATTATTTATGTACTCATATATATATACTATAATTTATCATTATTTAATTTTAAAAAATAAAAGAAAAAGAAATGTATATATATATATATATATATATATATATATATATATATATATATATAGTATAATTCTTTTTATTTATTTTTATATTTATAACAAAGTTTTGTATAGTTAAGAAGAAAGAAGAGATACATTAAAAATAAAAAAAATAAAATAAAATAAAATAAATAATATGAAATACGTACTTAAATATAAATATAGAACTACATAATTTTTGAAAAAAATATAATAGAATATGAATTTTTTGTTATTTCTTTACTCTTATTATTTTAAAAGATGTATATATATATATATATATATGCACATATGAATAAATATATATTTATATGTGTATTCTATATATATATATATATATAATAATAATTTACTTCATTAATTTGATATCCTTCTAATAAAATGAATTTTTTTTTCTATACACTTTTTTTTTTTTTTTTCTTTTTTTTTTAAATATAAACAAACAATAATAATAAAAACTAATTATATGAAGAGATATTCTTTAAATATAACAAAACATTATTACTGATTGAACTACTATGTAAAATAAAAAAGATATATGAACTTAATGAAGCTACACATATATATTTTTTATAAAAAAGATACAAAATCATTAATTTAATTTATTTTCTATATATTATCCTTCTTTTTTTTTTTTTTTTTTTATTTATTTTCCTTTTTCAGTTAAAAATCAAACAAAAAGTATTTTAAAGAAAAATAAAAAATGTATTATAAATAATAGATAAATGAATGCATATGTAGAATATATAAATGTGTATATATATATATATATATATAAATATATAATTGCATTTATAAAAAAGTATCTACTAGTAACAATCAAATCACCAAAAAACTTTCAAAATTTTTTGAAAATGTAGTATTTCAAAAATTATATTAAATGAAAAAAAATAGGAATGGAAGTAAGCTAAACTAGTAATATATATAGAATTAAAAAAAAAAAAAAATATATATACTATGAACGCATATATGTGTAAGTATATATATTACTACTATTGAAAACTTAAAAAAATTAAAATAATAAAATAAAAAATAGAATTTATATAATATTTTTCTTTCTCTCCTTATAAATATGCGGAGTTTTATTTTTCTAATTAGATGTTAAAATATAATCCTATTAAAAAATATTAAAAATATATATTGAAAAATATTTAAAAGAAAAAATTTTTGGATTAAAAAAAAAAAAAAATTATTAAAATCTAGTAAAAATTTATAAATAATCAAAAGAAAAAAAAAAGAAAAAAAAAACCAAAAAAATTAATTTATGAAACAAACTAATATTTAGACATAAATTAAAAAAAAAAAAAAAAAAACTCTTTGCAGCTTATATATAAGTTTTCTTCTTAATTTTTATTCCTTACATACACATATATATATATATATGCATACATAGTGTCTATATTATATAATGAAAAATAATAACTAATGAAAAAGATAAATTAAAATTCTGAGATATCATAAAAAATAAAAAATCTCCAAAATTTTATAAGATTATATTAAAAAAGCTTTTAAAATAGAACTACATATTATATAAATAAATTATATGAATATAAGTATATTACTATTAAAACATTATAGAAAAAAAAAAAAAAAATAATAAAATAATCTAAGAATATAAATAAAATAAAGGGATAAAAATATATTTAATAAAAAAATATAAATTAAAAGTTTAATATATATATATATATATATATATATATCTTATACATATAGTATTCAAAATTTTGTTATTTCTATGTAATTAAATAATAAGAATGAAATACTAGTTAATTATTATGAAAATATGTATTTTTTTTTTTTTTCTTTTTTTTGTATTTTATATAAATAAAATACTATATATTTAAGCATATGTATATATAAACTATTAAGTATATCTTTTTTTTATTCTCATTTGTTTTTGCTTATTTACTTTTATTTAAGCTTAAAATAAAATGATAGCATTATGAACAAACTATTATCTTGGTATTTAAAAAAAAAGAAAAAAAAAAAATTAAAATAGAATTATATTTTCTATCCAATGAATAATATACATCTTTAAAAAAAAAAAAAAAAAAAATAGTAAAATAAAAAATTGAAAATAAAAAACGACAATATCCTACTTCTCTAGGTTCTTTACATAAAATACGTGCCTACTATTTTTTTTTTTGAGATATAAATAGGAATGATAAGTATTCTTAAATAAAAATATAAAATTAATAATATAATAAAATAAAAACTGGTAAACTTTTTAAATATAAATAAACATTTAATAATATTATAATAATTTCCTAATGTATTTTTTTAATATAAAAATTTAAAAAAATATTACAAATATAATTCTAGAATTAAAAAAATAAATTTATAAAGTATTTCTTATGTTCTATTTTTTTTTTTTTCATTAGTTTTGGGCTAAAAAAAAAAAAAAATTATATATATCTAAATATCAAATTCAAAAGTATTCGGTTAATGATACAGTATTTCCATGACATACAAAATAAGTTATAGAAATATTTTTTTTTATTTTTTTTTATTTTTTTTTTTTTTTAGCATATATAATGTATGTACACCTAGTAATTAGAAAAAAATTATATAGGCTTCATTTAAAACATCTTCTTTTTTTTTTTTTTTTTTTTTTTTTTTTTTTTTTTTTTTAAAAAAAAAAAAAG